TAAGTCAGGGATTCCCTTCAATCACACTCATGATGAAACACTCGAAGGCTCTGCTTGGAGGAAAAGAGGTCCAAGCGATGGCTACAGCTTCCTGGGTCGTGGCTAGACCTACTCATGTGGCAGAGGAGAACACTGAGGCTCAATGTCAGTAATTAGGTGGGAAAACCATGGCAGGAAGCTTTGCCTGACTCAAAGCCTTTTTATTTCTACTAAGCTGCCGTTCTCTATGGGGAAAAGCAAAAAGCAAAGCAAAACCCAACAAGAAGAGTATCCTATTGGTTCCTTCAGCACTTTCAGTATTTGGTTTCCTAGAATCTGTGTGCTAGGAGAGATTTCTCCTTGCGCCTCATGAAGTCCTCCATGTTGTGATTTGTGCCTCCTTTCTCATCTGAACACCAGAACACAGAACCAGTACATAAACCTAAGTTTGGAAAAATAAAGCCATTGCCCATCTCCGCATGAGCCCGCAAGCCTTTTCTTCTCATTTTCTTCCCCAGCCTTTCTCCTGGCCGGAGCCCAGGTGTGGGAACCAGACCTCAGGAGGGGTGGGAGGGTGAGCACATGGCCAAAGGGACCAGGACGCCAAGGCCAGCCTGAGGGCAGTGATAAGGATGTAAACAAGGAGACTGGCACCAGCAGGCAGGGAAAGATTAGCCCAGCTGGCAGTGGCCAGTGGAAAAATGGGTAGCAGTTCAGTGATGTCAAACATGCCAGGCCAGAAGGTGGTAAGAAATGAGCCCTGTCTCTGGGAACACCCAGGAGCAAACAAGAGGGAGAATGAGAGAGAGAAAGACATATATATATATATATATATATATATATATATATATATATATATAGAGAGAGAGAGAGAGAGAGAGAGAGAGAGAGAGAGGGAATGAATGAGAGTATATAGTGTTTGAAGTATGAACTTTGGTTACCCAGTATGTGATGAGGGCCTATGACGTGCATGCTTTGAGATTATTATGAAATAATTTAGATTAAACTCACAAGATAGCATCTTACACATTATTGGCTCTCAAAAAGTAGTAGTCAATCTCATAGAAGAATTGCAGGAAGAATGATAGATTTAGAATGTCACCATTTTCAATCCCAAATGAAATGTGTTCATGAATAAAACCTCAAATCATTAGGTGAAATGCTGATGGGGAGCCTTATAATGGATGGAGAAGGCTGACAACACCTGGATCTGAACAATTTTAATGCAAAATGAGAGGTATTCTTTTATCTATAAACGAAGGTATGTGGACCCCCTACTTCATGACATGTGCAAAAATTAACTCCAACTGCATCCTACAACTAAAGGTTTTATTACTATAAAACTCTTACACGGAAATACAAGCAACAAAGAAAAGAGTGGGTAAATTGGATATCATCATAGTTAAAACATTTTGGGCTTCAAAGGACACCACCAAGAAAGTGAAAAGGTAATCCATAGATTAAGAAAACATTTTCACATTATGTATCTGATTAGAGACTTGCAGCTAGAATGCATAAAGAACACGACTTGCTGAAACCGGTTTGGCTCAATGGATAGAGCATCGGCTTGGGGACTGAAAGGTCCCGCGTTCGATTCGGGTCAAGGGCATGTACCTTGGTTGCAGGCATATCCCCAGTAGGGGGTGTGCAAAAGGCAGCTGATCGATGACTCTCTCTTATCGATGTTTCTAACTCTCTATCCCTCTTTCTTCCTCTCTGTACAAAATAAATAAAATATATTAAAAAGAAAAAGAAAAAGAACACGACTCAAGAAGAGGAAGGTAACTAAGCCAACTAAGAAATGGGCGAAGGATATTAATAGACACTTCTCCAAAGAACACATGTCCAATAAACACAGAAATAGCTCCTTAACGTCATTGCCATCAAGGAACTGAAAACCAAAACCACAATGGATACCACTTCATCCCCACTAGGATGCCTACCCTAAAAGGGCAGGTAATAAATGTTGGTGAAGATGTGGAGAAACTGGAGCCGTCACACACTGCTGATAGGAATGCAACATGGTGCCATCACTTTGGAAACTAGTTGGCAGTTCTTGAAACAGTTAACTATAGGGTTACTATATGACCTAATAAATCCACTTCTCGGTATAAATTTATTTCTATGGATTACCTTAGGAGGATTAGCTAAACATCTTAACCATAAATTAGACTGTGAGTGTGTCCAAGGGAAAAAATTATCTTAATACTAAGTAGAAGCCATCTCTCATGGCACTCCTGAGTACTGGGAAGTTGGGTTGGGAGATTCCTCTGAAAGATGAAGACAAAGGGACACCTGGAACAGGACCTGGACTTAATGGTTCAAGCTCCTTGAACTCGAATAAAGTGAATAAAGAAATCACTTTATTCAGAATATTTCAAATATAGGATCGAAAGGAGTCAGCTTTATAGACTTCAGAATTCCCCAAGGTGCATGTCAGCTCATTCTCCCAAGAGCCCAGGGGGATGCTGGGACTTCTCATTAGCATCCTGGAGTGGGACAGAGGAGGGGCAGAGCTGGGAGGGGCAGGGAATTGCATTCCTTACACTGACTTCTGCAGCCTTTCCTTCTCTGTCTTAGCTCTGGTTTTCTGGATAATTATAAGAGGGGAAAGGGATTGGTAATTGTTTAAGAAAGTCATAGGCTGCTGCTTTGTTTTTTTGATTTTTGAGGCAAAATATGTTATTGGAAACCTTTACTGGGGCTTCGGAAAGTCAACAGCAACATAAATGAACAAAACACCATCCTGGCCCTTAAGTTTTCAAACTAGTGAGCAAGGTGGTAAGATTATACATGATATTTATAGTACAAAGAACCAGAGTGAGACCCATGCACTGTGGCCACAGGGGAGCGAGATTAATTCTGCAGGGGAGGGGAAGGCAGAGCTGCCATGGAGGAATGGTAGGCATACAGGGCTTTGGGGTACAGAGAGGATCATGACAGGTAAATGCATCAAAAATAAATTCCTGGAGGAACAGCATTTATTTGTTCCACAAACCTTTGCTCATGATAACACTGGGCAAAAATGTAGATATACTTATAATCCACAGTCTTCTGAATAAAAAAACACACACACACACATACACTATTAAAACCGTGCAGGGGTTTCCTGGGAATAGTATATGCATATGCCACATTTTGGAATTCTCACTGTTTGTGAAAACTAGGAAGAAATACTTGTTTTGAATTCCATTAGGATTCTCTGCTCCTGTCCACCCTCTCTGTAGATGAGGTAAATGAGCAGGAAGGAGAATTAAAATGACACATAGAAAGTGATTTGGCTAAATCATTTGAGAAGCCAACTTACAGCTGAATCAGCTAGCTGAATCCACTGAATGTGGGCGGTACTTTATATATCTGTCTATATATAAAGAATAGTTTCAGAAAAATTTGTCACTCTTCAGCTTAATTGTGAGTCAATAGGCCCCCCATTTGTGTGTGTGTGTGTGTGTGTGTGTGTGTATGTGTGTGTGTATTGGAGGGAGAACTTTGGGCGCAAAGCGTGTATATACTTGTAACAATGTGTGTGGAATGTGTGTGTAGAATGGGAGCCTTATGTGTGATGTTTTTAGTTGGAGGATAGTGTATCTGGAGGGAAGTGTGTGTGTGTGTGTGTGTGTGTGTGTGTGTGTGTATGTGTGTGTGTATTGGAGGGAGAACTTTGGGCGCAAAGCGTGTATATACTTGTAACAATGTGTGTGGAATGTGTGTGTAGAATGGGAGCCTTATGTGTGATGTTTTTAGTTGGAGGATAGTGTATCTGGAGGGAAGTGTGTGTGTGTGTGTGTGTGTGTGTGTGTGTGTGCGCGCGTGCGCGCGCGCAGAGGTACAGGGACAGCCAGCCTCTTGGCGATCCAGACAGCGGTGTAAGATCTGAAGTATTATAAAAGGTGATTGTTTTCCTGTTAGACCAGCACTCAGGTCTTTCAGGAGTCCTTGACTTTCTCCTCCTCCCTGTCTTGTTAAAAAGGGATTAGAGTCCAATTAAGCCATTTAATCCCAAGGTAGAGATTCATGTTTAAAAACAAGATTTACAGCTTTAAAAAAAATGCATCACGCAAGTTGAGGTTTGTCCTCTCAAGTTGCCACCTGCATGGTTCCAAAGAGTGTTTTCAGCAGAATACCCAACATGCAGTTCTTAATTACGTTGCCTCATACCTCCAACCCTTCACGTGCTCAAGTACCCTTCAGCCTGAAGAGCCACATGCTGTTAGAGGTACTTCTGCTCCGGAGTGCATAGTCACCCTGGTTTCTTTCCCTTCAGCTGGCAACTCAGTGACCAGGCTTATTAAGAACAGTATTAAGAGGCAATGCTTATTGGGAGCTTAGTATGTGCCTGGCATTGTGCTAAACACTTTACATACAGTATCTCATTAGATGCTCCCTATGAAAGCACCCAGGCCTGGCTTCAGGGGTGTGGAACATGTGTAGTCACACAAGGCTCAGTGCTCAGAAGGGCCCTCCACTTGTTTAATACTCTGCTGTTGCCATCTTGAAATTCTTAATTTCCAAGCAAGGGAGCTGCATTAGCATTTTTCACTGGGTCCTGAAAATTATGTAGCCAGCCCCCCAAACACCCAATGACTCATAAATTCTTTTTCTTCTTTTCCACATGATGCCCAGTACCTTTCTGGAGGATGGACCAGTAAATTTCAAATTGTGATGCCAGGACCCCATCTGAAAAATGGGTGCCATTATCTCCTTAAAGGGAAATTCTCAAGGGGAAAGGGATCATGTTAAGACTCTTAACATGAGAAAGCAAAGCATCTGTGAGAATTTGACAAATCATGAAACTCCCCTAAGCCTCGGTCTTCTCACCTGTAAAGTGGGGATAATACTAATCATACCTAATTCACAGGCTGTTTCAAGGACCAGATAGATCACAACTCTGACACACAAAACAGTTATTATTATGCGTTATGAGTGCTTAGCTGGTAGTAAACATCCAATTTTGCTTGTGACATGGTGTGAATCACTTGACCAACTCCAAGGTGCCCCTATCCCAGGGGTCTGCTTCCTACCTGTCCCAAGGAACCGGGAAGAACATCTGCTTTCTCCACGTGCTGGCCGATCACAGAGGGGTTGCTAGAGCTGATAAGCATTGGGGTGCTGATCTCCACCATGTGGCGCTCCGAGGGAGAATGGACCATCCTGTTGAGGGTGTTCAAGGCTGTCGTGATGGAGAGCTGCCCGGGCCCCTTCCTCCTGGACCCAGGGCCCCTTCGGAGGCTGGGCGTGTTGGTGGCTTTGCCTCTGGAGGAGGAGGACACCAGGGACAGGCTTTTTGTGCGGGACGGCTGGCGGCCTTTGTTCTTTTCTAGCAGGTGTCTTGCCGTGAGGTTTGGCTGAGAAGACAAAAAGGTTTGGTGAGAAGTTAGTCTTCCTGGTCTAATATGAGCAACTAAGTCTTACCCAGGCGAGTCTGAAGCCAGTTCAGATGCCACCACCTCACTCGCCATTCCTGATTTGCAGAGTCTACCTATTTCTGTGGTGTAAATATCTACCAATGGTTCAACAACTGGCTAGCAAAATTCCTGAAAATAGAACAACCAGCTCTTGCAGTCTAGTGCCAACTAGTTCTAGCACAACCACTGACTGCATTACATTTTGAATACCTTGCCCACCAAGGGCCCACATGAATTCATTTCTTCCAGAAACCTGAAATATGCTGACAAAATGGGGGTCTGTGTGAATAAAACTTTCCAGAACAAGTACTTAAATATGCATCATTATTACTGTCACCAGTTGCCCTCTGAAAGAAACTACATCTGGTCCATCTCATTATAATTTAGAAATTCAACTATAGAGGTAAAAGGGAATATGCCCACCTAAGAACTTTTCAGTGACAATGTGCAGGTGATTAAAATAATCAAGAGAGAAAAGTTTAAAGCAGATGTAGTTTATGGTTCAGGAAACTTGTAATGTTGTGAAAGAAAGAATCAAGTAGGGGAGGAAGTATTATAATATCCACTTTAAAGATAAGAAAGCTGAGGCCCAGAAAAGGTGACTTACAAATGGCAAAGCCAGCATGAAACAAAGCAAACAAGAAAATGTCTGTTAGTAATAATGTTCTGTTGTGATAGTGGCTGGAGGAGGAGGCTCCTTTAGATTCGGGGGGCGGGGGGGAGGAGAGGGAGGAAGGAGCCAGGGAAAGCTGCTGAGAGGGCGACATTTAAGCAGAGACACAGATGGCAAGAAGGAACCAGCCATGTGAAGATGGGGGTAGGAACAGGCCAGGCAGAGGGATTATAAATTAGTGGAAAGGTCTTGAAGAGGTGGCAGGGGGGCGGGAGAGGGAGAAAGAAGAGGGAGGTGTGGTAGGAAGGTGGTGGCAAGCTCAGCCTGTTTGAGAGCAAGACAAGAAAGAAAGAGAGAAGGCTGGAACAGAGCAAGTGAGAAGCAGGTGGTGGAGGAGACCACAGAGACAGGCTGGATCTCAAAGGGCCTGGGAAGCTTCCTGTTTTAAGTGTAAGAAAGCCTTTGAAAGAATTTAGGTAAAGGAGTGACATGATCTGATTTATGCTTTTGGAATTTCCTGCTATACTTTGAGAGTTTCTTACAAAGTTAAACACATACTTAGAGCATTCAACCCAGCAATCCCACTCCTAGATAATTACCGGAGAGAAATGAAAACTTATGCTCACTCTAAAAATGACATGCAAATGTTTATAGAAGCTTTAATCACAGTTGCCAACAAAGGGAAACAAACACAATGGTTTTCAACTGGTGGATGAATAAACAAATTCTGGCACATCCGTCCAATGGAATATGATTCAATAATGAAAAAGGTGAACTACTTGCTACATGCAAACACCATGAACGAATCTCAGATGCATTGTGCTAAGTGAAAGAAGCCAGACTCAAAAGGCCACATCTGTTTGATTCCATTTCTATGACGTTCTAGAAAAAGAAGACTATAGGAACAGAAAACAAATCAGTGTTAGCCACGTGGTGGGAATCAGGGAAGAAGCTGACTACAAAGGGGCAGCATCACCTATTTTTGGGAGCATTGGAACCACTCTAGATCTTGATGGTGGTGTGTTATTCTGAATACTGTAGAATGGACACCAAAAAAATAAATTTTATTGTCTGCAAATAAAAATAAATCCATAAAAAGGTTTTATTATAGACTAGAAGGAGGGAGACCATTTAGGAATTTACTGAAACTGTTTAGGCAAGTTCTGACAGCCTTCTGGATTAGGGACAATGTCCTTCATTCCCCAGAGCACCTATCCCTCCATTGTTCATCCAGAAAGAGGACAATATACATTCTTTGAATGAGTAATTACTCAGGGTCATTCACAGTTACAATGAAGTGAATGTTTTCCTGCTTCCACCCAATTGTTCTGTCCCAGGTGAGACACACCATCAGCAGCACTGAGAAAGGGCCTCTGTGACTCTTGGTTTGCCCTGTTCTCTGCCAATGTGATTAATGGCTCAGGTGGGGAAGGTCTGCACATCTCTTAAATATGCATCCACTCCTTTGAAACAACATCCTTGAGGTTCATGGAGCTGAGCAAGATTCACATAACCCAGGCAGGCCCTAGTGGAGAAGTTCTGACAAGAATGGATGTGAGCTCAGTATTTGTTTTGCCACCATTTTATCCAGGTGCAATTCAATGAATCCAATGCTACATTAACAAGAAAGATCCTGTTTATGCAAAAAACAAGAACAAAACACACATACTCCATGTCACTCTCATAAGAAAGCGTTCCTTCCTTCCAACCGCTTTGCATGGCAGTGGTAATGCAGAACTTATTTAAAGAGTCCTCAGCAAGTACTAGTCTTAATGAAATGACAGAAGTCAGAATTTAGAAAGCTCCATGTAGGTTTCAAGTCTTTTTTGAAAACCAGGTTCCCAGAGCAGAGCAACCACTTGATTATCTTATTCCCCTCCCAGCAATTAGAACAAAGGAAGCAATGGCTAGCTTGATGACAATCTTGAGGATTCTTGTAATCACCCGTTTCAGAGGTGAAGTGGTGGGGAGAATATCCAAATGAATAATCATTAAATGTAGTTTTTTTTTCTTTTGGGTGGGTGGGTGGGAAAGGATATCAGAGGTGGGAAATATCTGATCATTGGTGCCTCTCCCCTAGCCCCAACTATGAAGAAGCTTTTTGAGATAATGCAGGGGCCATGCGAGCTCTCATCCTCAAAAACTTCAGCCCTGCCTATGTGTACAGCTACACATTAGTTGTAGCTCATCTCTGTTCCTAGAATCTCAACCTCTGTCTCCCAATCAACATAATTGTTCCTCTTCAGCAAATGCTGCTTGACTACGCAAATGGCTCCACCACCAACCTAGGGACACAAATCAGAAAGGGGGCATAATCTTTTTTTTTTTTTTTTTTTTAATATTTTTATTGATTTTTTTACAGAGAGGAAGGTAGAGGGATAAAGAATTAGAAACATCGATGAGAGAGAGACATCGATCAGCTGCCTCTTGCACAACCCCTACTGGGGATGTGCCCGCAATGCAACCAAAGTACATACCCCTGACCAGAATTGAACCTGGGACCCTTCAGTCCGCAGGCCTACGCTCTATCCACTGAGCCAAACCGGTTTCGGCGGGGGCATGATCCTTAACCACTTCCTTTCCCCTATTCCCTGCTTCTGTCAACTCCTAATCCAGAGAATCTACCTTCAAAAAGGTCCTTGAATCTTCCACTTGTCCCCAATCTATTGGTCAGAACTATAGTCATCTTCTAACTGAGTTATGCAGTAGGTCCTAACTGCTCTATTTTCCCCCTCCCTCCCTCTCTCTTTAAATGATTCTTTGTGTCATTCATCACAGTTATAATTGTTTGATTAATGTCTGACTTTACATTCTGAAAGTAGGGACCCATGTCTATCTTGTGTCTTTAGAATTTCACACAGGACCTGATACAGCTGGCCCTCAGTTAAAAACTAGTTGAATGATTGAATATTAGGATGGAGTCACACTGAAAGGTTTGTTCTCCAGCTTTTTTTTTTTTTTTTTTTTCCCCCTGGTTACTCTGACAACCTCCTGAATTCTTTCCCGTTCACTCACTTTGTTATGAATTTTTTTTAAGGGAGTGTAGGCTGGCCTGTGAAGTACAAGAATATACCCATTAGGTGTTCAGGGAAGAGATAAATGAATGTTCAACTAGTTGCTGAAATTTTATGGAGAAAGTGGGTTTCTAGCTGAGTCTTGTAAAATGAGTGAAATTTAAACAACTAGAATTGGGTAGGTGTATCTGGTTGGGGCCTCAGCAGGGGAAAAAGCGTTGGGAATGAGACTTTATTAGAGATAGAAGACCAGCCTGTCTGGACCCTTCTTCCTCCCTCCTTTCCACTTTTCATCCCTTCAACACTGACACCGTAGAGGGGGTGCAGAGAACCATGAGACCTGTGCAGTATTCTGGATGCACCATTTCCTTCAGAACCTGCTTTGACTCTTATGAATGAAAGAATTGGTTCTTCTCTCCAGTTCTGCCTCTGTTCTGTCTTCATCCCACTCTCCTAGAGGTCAGGGAGCATGCCTTTTACTTCTTTCATAGCTCCCCACTGCTGACTTTTACTGCTTTATTTTACTTCATTTTGTTTTTGGTTAATCCTCACCTGAGGATCTTTTAAATTTTATTTTATTAAGGTATTACATATGTGTCCTTATCCCCTCAACCCCCCCACCCCATTCATGCCCTCACCCCCCTGGTGTCTGTGTCCATTGGTGATGTTTATATGCATGCATACAGGTCCTTTGGTTGCTCTCTCCCCCTTACCCCACCTTCTGAGGTTTGAGCATCTGATCCATTGATCTTTTAGAGCAGAAGAGAGAACAGAGGGAGGGAAGGGGGAGGAGAGTGAGAGAGCGAGAGAGGGAGAGAGGAGAGAAAAAAAGAGGGAAAGAGAAACATTGATGTGAGAGAGACACATTGATTGGTTGCCTCCCATCTCCCACACTCACTCCCATTGGGGGGCCAGGGATCAAACCTGCAACCCTTTGGTACAAGGGCCAACATTCTAACCACTGAGCTACCGGCCAGGGCACTTTTACTGCTTTATGCAGGGCAAGCATCCAATAAATGCAGTTAATCACTGAATCTTCTCCTTTAAATTTGCAATGACCTGCTACAAGCTCAGGTGAGGCTGAAGATTACAGAGGTTAGAAAGTAAATATCCTTGCTTGTGTTCTTTCCTCTTTAAAAAACAAAGAAGCAATATGTATCATTTCAGAAGATTTACAAAATACAAGCCAGCAGGAAAAAAATTGAAATAATCTAGAATCTTACCATTTGGTGATATTTTAGTACATTTCCTTTTAGTTCTTTATCCATTAATGGATACACATATATTTGGAAAGCTAGTTTTATATAGTTCAATTTGTTTCTTTTTATTGGCAGAAAACATATAACATCAAATTTATCAGATGAACCATTTCTAAGTGTACAGTTCAGTAGTGTAAGTATATGGTTGTAAAATAGATCTCTAGAACACTATATCCATTAAACTTTATTTTATTTAACAATAAATCATAAACATTTCCCCATAATTCTAAATACTCCATGATACTGAATATGCTTCTCTAATATTATTTTTAATAAGTATTTATTTTCATCACCATTATTTTAAAAAACAAAATTCTAATTGTTTCTTTTTAGATTATTATGTTTTTAGATTATTTCTGTGTGTGTATTTTTTTTTACTATTTCACACAATACTATGGTGAACATTTTTGCACATTTTATACATGTATCTCTGCATACTTATTTTAATATTACCATATCATAACTCTCTAATGTGAAACTGCTGATTCAAAGGAGATGTACATTTTTAACATTCTTGATATGAATTAGAGTTTGAATATGAGAGATGACACCAATTTACATTCCTATCAGCAGAATAAAAAGGCCCATTGCCCCTTACTCTTGCCAGAACTGGATATTATCATCTGGCATCTTTTCTTAGAGAGAGACTGTAGTTACTTCTGAATACGCCTCAGATCAAATGGAAATTGCTCTCAGGAATCACTGTGCTACATGCACCTTTCTAGAAGCTTAATCAGATGTATACTTGCTGCTCACATACCTCAACAAATAAGATTGGGAAGATGCCGATTTTGTCTCCTAACTTCCCTTCTGCCCAGTTCTCATCCACTCGACTGATCACAGTGATGATATCATCCTGAAAGAGAAAATGTCTCATGGTCAGTGTCCTGTTTTCAGGCGGGGAAAGCTCTCAGTGGACATCAGTTTGGAGCCCCAGATGGTATGAGGTACAAGGCATGGAGTTCTTTCATGATTTGTTTACAACATTCTTCTGCTAGATGATCTTTTTCCATAAAGGGCTGGATTTGGATCACCAAGACACAAGAGAATTAGGAATAATTTGGAGGATCAGTGGACTCCAATAGGAAAACTTAGAAATGTTTCTGATTTTAAATCACCAGCAGAATCTGGTCTTCTCATTTAAATTAATCTGATGAGGAAATCAAGATGAAAGCCATAGGGAGACAGACGATCTTAGCAAAAGGAAGAATGAATTTCATTCCGATTTTGAAGATTTTTCAGAACCTATCAGTATTCAGTGTATCAAATTTAAAGTGACTTTTAACTCAATTTTTTTTTACTATAAAAGTTTATATGTAGACTTTTTTTTATTATAAAAGGTTATACGTAGAAACATCTGAAAATACAGATAAGCAAAACAAAGAAAAAAATTCTATCACAATATAGATATGACAACTGTTAGCACCTTAGTTAACACCTTTTTTCCCAGATTCTTTTCTATGAAGAGAACACATATATACATGTACATATAAACATACTAATTTTTAGGCCAGCCTGTGTGGCTCAGAGGTTGAACGTCGACCTGTGAACCAGGAGGTCATGGTTTGATTCCCTGCTGAGGCACATGACCAGGTTATGGGCTCAATCCTCAGTAGGGGCATGTGGGAGGCAGCCCATCAATGATTCTCTCTCATCATTGATGTTTCTATCTCACTCTCCCTCTCCCTTCCTCTCTGAAGTCAATAAAAATATATTTTAAAAAGCATACTTATTCTTAAAATCTGTTCCAAAAACATACACAAGTTAATATAATAAAGTAAATAAATTTTATATGTGAAGCTTGATGAGTTTTTACATTAACTATATCCATGGAACACCATCCAGATCAAGAGTTATAAACATGGCCAGTATATAGAAGATTCCTTTGTACCCTTCCTATCACCTAGCAAGAGGTAACCACTCTTCTGACTCCTAGCATGCCTGTTCATTCTGCCTCCTTTTGCACTTCATACAAATGTAGGACACATTGATTTTTTACTTAATACCATGTCGGGGACATCTTTCCACATCCATACCTTACATCAATCTACACCTGAATAGTCACCCGCTGATCTCTTTGACCTTCTGACCCATGCACTAGGAAATGGCATGTTCTTTTTAAATTACCCTGGGTAATTTAAATAAAACTAAATCTAAGTTAATTTACTGCATTATATCTTAACTTTTCTGTCCTTATTACACTTTGCAATACATATTTAGAGGTTAGTATTTCTTTAATGCTTATCTACCCCATTAGATCATAAACTCTGTGTGCTCAGAGCCTGGGTCTATTTTGTTCATTTCCATGTCCCAGAGCCTAATACAGTGGCCTCTCTTCAGGAGTCATCCAATAAATATTTCCTTCTTGTTGTTGTTTTTTGTTAATTCTCACCAGAGGATATTTTTTTTCTATTGATTTTTGAGTGGAAGGTGATGGGAGGGAAGGGGAGAGAGAGAGAGACATTGATGTGAGAGAGACATCGATTGGTTGTCTCCTGCATATTCTCTGACCAGGGGAGGAGATCAGACTTGCAACCCAGGCAGGCACGTGTCCTTGACTGGGAATTGAACCTGTGACCCTTTGGTGTGTGGCATAACACACTAACCATTGAGCAGCATCGGCCATGGGGGAAATATTTCTTGAATGAATGAATTCATAAATAAATGAATGTGTGAAAAAAATTGTACAATTTAATGAGATAGAAAGCATAGGGAAAGATCATGCTGAGTCCATGTTTAATTTGGATATACTGAATTCAGAAAGAACATGCCATTTCCTAGTGCAGTTTCACCTCCCATACCCTTCCAGAATGAATCCAATTTTTCTCTTTTGGTTCCTTGTCATAATTTACCATTTATGTGTCTGTTTCTTCACTAGTCTGCTGGGTCTGTGATGGTAGGAACAGTGACTCATCACTTAGTTCTCAGTGGACAGTTTGGCACGTGAATGGGCCTACTGAATGAATGAGCTGGTAGATTAAGTGTCCCAGAGAGGGGCAAAAACAAACCCCAAAAACCCCAAGCAGAGGATGCTCCCTGCCTATGTCTTCCTCCAGCTGCGTCCCCAGAGCAGTGTCTGGTGCCTGGCACAGAGTGAACACTGAGAAAAGGCCTGTGGAATTGAACTGTCCTTCCCCTGACTGTAGATGAAATATGGCCTGTGCAGTTTGGGCCACAGAATGACCTTCCTTCGGGGACTCGCTTGGAAGTGCCAAGACAAGAATGATCAGTATTTCAAAAAGTGGAGGGCAGTGAGGTTATCTAGTAGGAGGGGATCTGAAGTAAATCTTGTCTCTGGCAGTGGTGGAATAAAAATGTCCTACAAAACAGACCTTTCCCGAGCCAGTGTGACAGTGCCACTTCCTATATGTGATTTATCATAAGCAGCAAAGAATAAAAGCCATCCCAACTATGGTTTCTAGATGAAATTTGAAGGAATAAGAAATACTAAACACATAGAATTAAAGTAGTCTAGACAAGTTTAGTAGAAGAATGCAGGCAAAACATTTTTAGGGTGACTGATGTCCTTGGAAAGTATATATTGTGAAAGTTTTTTTTTTTTTTAATGATAGACATATTTAAAAAAATATTTTTATAGATTTCAGAGAAGAAGGGAGAGGGAGGGAGACAGATAGAAACATCATCGATAAAGAAGAATCATGGGTCAACCACTTCCTGCACACCCGCTAGTGGGAATCGAGCCTGTGACCCAGGCATGTGCCCTTGACCGGAATGGAACCCGGGACCCTTCGGTCTGTAGGCTGACGCTTTATCCACTGAGCCAAACTGGCCAGGGCTTATAAGAGGTTTGCTATGTTTAAAGGCATAATTATGCTATGGTGTGTGTTTGGAGTGTCTTGAATGTAACATTTACAACAAAATAGATGGTTGTAAATGAGAAGAATTAGGTGGTGAGAACTTGGTTGGTAAGAATAGCCTTACAGATACATGATAAAGAGGTAATAATTGTAGTTTTGTAAGCACGCTATCAAATTGTGTTTGTGATTTTTTGTCCACATGTCTGTTCCTCCCACTGTTCTGCAGGGACTGGGACTTGTTCATGCTGTATCCCCAGCGCCTGAAAAGAATAGGTGCTCACATGCTGGGATTGTGAGCTGGATCCTCAGTAGGGGGCATGCAGGAGGCAGCCAATTCATGATTCTCGTCATTGGTGTTTCTATCTCCCTCCCCATTCCTCTCTCTGAAATCAGTAAAAATATATATTTTTAAAAAGTAAAAAAAATAAGTGTTCAAAGTGATTGTAGAATGAATGAATGAATGAATGAGTGAATGTGTAAATGTTTATTCTCATAATTGCAATAGAAAAGGCGTAAGGATTTCTATCAAACTGCTATTAATAGATTTCTCTAGTGACTTCATGTCTATGTAGTTTGAATTATACACACACATTGCATATACAAGCACGTATGTGTGTATACGTACATATATACATAGATATACACACTTAATAGAATTTAAAAATATAACCAAATATTAAGCAAACAACTCCAGGTTCTGCACAGTGTCTCCATGGTCACTTGTGACATTGGTGGCTGCTCAGAATCTTACCTTGAGGAAGGTCAGGCAGTCCTGGTTGTCACTCTTGTCCTTATTTCGTAGGTCGAAGTTGTAGAGGGCCCGGCAAAGTGGGGGTGGCTGGGGCAGCTGCTTGATGACCTCCACAGAGCTAACCGGGAAGAACCCACTGATTCCATTGATCTCCCCCTGGTACCAGTTCTCGTCCACCTGTCTCCGAAGGAGGATGACATCTCCCTTATTAAACCTCAGGTCACCGGGATTCTGTCCTCGGTAGTTGCATAAGGCCTTTGCTCGAGGCACCTGCCAATAAAACATGTACTTGGCTTAGAGGCTGGAGGAACAGAATGAATCATATTAATAATTAACTACAAAACCCTCCCAATGTACTCTAAGTGCTAAATACAGATCATCTTGTGGGTCTGTAAACACTGAATGCAATGTTTACCACAAAGGAGGTTGTTATGAATGAGTAGAGTTAGGTGGTGACTTGTATGTAGAATTACTAGTATATGGTAGAATTAGATGACCTGTGGACCATATCTTTGAGATGGACACTCTAATCATGCCCATTTCTAAGTAGGGTGACTGAGGCGCAGAGTAGTTGAATAACTTGCCTGGAGTGACGCAGTTGGGAAATGGAAGATGTGGGATCTGAACTCGGGCCACCTGAGTTTAGAGCTCCTGTTCTTAACCACTATGCAGGGATAGGGTTTTGGATTTAACTCCACAGCTACACGCACTTGAGTGAGTCAGTGACTCCGGGGGTCTGGACACGGACTGTGAATTCTGGCTCCACCTCTTCCCCCTTGTGTGACCATGCTCAAGCTATTTACTCTTTTCTTAAACCTCATTCATTTATAAAATGAGGTGACAGTAGGATACCCACCTCGTTAGGGAGTTGTGAGGAATAAGTGATATTCATAATAGTTTTAGCTTATGGCTTTGTAGCTTTGTACCTAGTATATGCTCAATAAATGATCTCCCTTATTATCATCACCTATCATGGAGGACAGATGATATCAGTTCTACAGAGTTCTCAGTATCAATGGGAGGAAAACTGGGCTGAAAAATCCCCAAGACAGAAAGTGAGTGTTACATGAGGGTGATGCAGTGGAACTGGTCTTCAGCCTTCTCTAGAAACTAACCCTTACCAGTGTTTGCATCTCTTGGAAGTATAACGGACACATCCTTAGTCAGAAATCAACCATCAATATTTAAAATGTACCTAAAGAATCATCATTCTGTTGTCTGTCTAAATAATTATTTCAGTCAAATGCCTTCTTTCCCCTAATTGAAATGGTTTCTCCACACAGAAATGACCTCACTCTGGTCTCCTGGAAGTCAGTTTGACAAACTGAAAGTTCTAATTAGGTAGGTTTAAGGGAAAGCTTGTCAGTGTCACCAGGGATTGTGCTTTCCTTTGTGCTTTGCCAGCACTGGGGTGAACAATCCTCTCTCCTGGGGCAGCCTTGCTTTTGTAAGGGGATGTAAGAAAACATTCATTCTGTTCTTCAGGGACCTTCCGGTCTGCAATGTTCATTTGAAAAGGAACTTCAAGCAGGTTAGGGGTAGAGCCAGGACCGAGCAGCAGCACCTTGCTGATGGATGGTAGAGTATGCTTTCCTGCTGGTCCCTGGGTACAGTAAGAGGAACCCAAAGCGGGTAGGAAACCACAGGAACACAGCTCATCCTCAGCAAACCAGCATCAAAGATGTGCGTACTAGGAGGTTTACAGGGCCAAGGATAAATGGAATTGACTGAATAAATTATGATGCACCCATACAATGGAATACCCTACAGTTATTAAAATTGATGATGTTGATCTATAATTAATAACATTGAGATACTCAGAATATACTGTTAAGTATAACAGAAGAGGTTAAAACAGTTCTGTAGACTAAACATTCATTATAAATACATATATATCTTTTTTTTTACCTGGGGAAAATGCTAAATGCTACATGGCTATCCACCCACATTTTAAGAGGGGTTATTTCTAAGTGGTGAGATTTTTGAATACTGGTACTAAAAAAATTATTTCCCTAAGTGCTTGCTGTGTTTTCTAACTTTTCTACAACAAATTGATTGCATTGCCTGTTGTAATTGGATAATAAAAAAATAAAATAAATAAAACTCAGGGATGAGAAGTGAAAGACATGGGAGAAAAATATGGGAAGGAAATAAGCCAAGCTGAGTAGGATTGGCAAACTATGCAACCAACTTTTTGGACACATTTTAATGACTACTGAGCATGTATATAAAACTAAAATTACACTAAATGTTTAAACCTCTTCGAAGATGCATTGACTCTGAAACCCTGAGATAGTGCCAATGGTTTTGTTGGGTGGACTGTCCAGTGGGAGTTGGAGAGAGCCCATAACATTACAACATGTGTTGTCAAACATACTTAATCTCCAGTTTTCTGACACCAAGTGCCAACTGTGGTACTTTCTTTGCTTAGGATGTTAATTCATAATTGTTTCTTTTTGTTGATGGTTGATACCTTTTCCATTGATTTAAACTTATACATTATTTTTGCTCCACATGACCAGTAGTAGTCATATATTCCCAAGCCACTGGACCACTTGAGTGCATAAATGCCCCAGTGTAATGAAACACTACGTATATTCAGGCCTGTAAAACCTCACAGTATGAACTTGGGGTATTTCCTGCAAATGATTCTGATTTCTGGGTATTTACAGGGCCATGGTGATATCCAAAAGAAAAATGCTTTTTTTTTTTTTTAACTTATAGATTATCTCATTGAACTTTGTAAAATGGCTATCATTAGTGTATTTACTCTGCCCTCCCAAACCCATCATCTTTTCTCAACCTCCCCTCAATATAAGTAAGTATTGTGAAAATTTACAATTTCTATTTTTAACACAAAGGCTCTTTTCATCTTCTTTCTCTTCATTCTGGACAACCCCTCTCCTGTATTCTCAGTTCTACATTCATACCCATACATTGCTTCCACACTATGAAGGAGGAGGAAGGGAAGGGGAGGAAGAGAATCTGAAAAGGGGAAGGACATGAACAATTATCGTTGTTCTGGCAAGCCACAGAAAAATTTCTGGCATTTGCTTAAATGCACTTTGCATATATTATCCCAATCATATGATTTCAAAACCCAATGAAGTAGATGGAACACCCCATTTTATTATTGAAGAAGCAGAGGTTGTGAGGTCTTTGATGTTATAACACAAGGTCACACAACTTGTGTATGGCAGCCCCGAGACTGACTTAGGATGATTTGACCTCAAAGCAGCCTGGCTCTTCATCCAGCTGAAGTCACCTAAGTGTGTATTTCCATCCTAAAACTCACTGGGGGCTCTGTTTTGTAATCAAAATCGGAACAGAGTGTGAACATAATTTGCTTGCTGTTGGCTGCATTAGCATGAATTATTGAGCTCCAGAGCCCTCACATAAAAGTTAAGCACCTGAAGAGACTCAGCTGGTTGATTCTATCCGGTCCTCAGCTGTTCTCTCAAGGGAAAATGACTCCAAGTGCCACATCAGCAATCACCGTTGTCTTGTTGGTAACAGTGTTCATCATCCGTAAGTGTTTTCCCAAGTGCAGGCAGGAGCAGGGAAGGGGGAAGTAGGAGTGGAGATCTCACAGCCAGTTCATTATCACACTTCCTTTCTTGTGTTTTCCAGAAAGTCAGATAATTCAATGGAAGCTAGTATGTACCTAAAAAGCTTTCCTTTTCTGAGATTCAAAAGACTCAAGATTTCTATGCTCCTGTAATTTTCTATTGTTGTGTCAACTTAGTAGGGTCTGAAAGCCACAAGGGCCATGCTTCTGGGAGGGATAATGCATAGAACCCAGAAACAAGGAGGCAGGGGCATGTGGGGATACTCATAGTAGAATTATGTTGGAGTAGTTAATGAATGTTAATAGTAAAACTATGGCAAGCATCCCTTCTTTGCTCTTCCTTTTAAAAATAATTTCTTTATTGATTAAGGATTACATATGTGTCCTTATCCCCCAGTACTCCCCATCCCCCCCCACTCATGCCCTTCTTTGCTCTTCTGATGGGTATGTCATTCACTTTGGTCTCAAACTCCCCCCCCCCACCTCCCCCCCACATACACAGTTATGCAGTCCAGGCAGGCCAGTTAGAGCATCCCAATCCCCCTAGCACAGTGATTAATATAGGTCAGGCATGTGTTCCAAACAGAGTCAATTCAAATCATCTTTGAAGTCTGATATATAGATGCCAAGAACTTAGTCTTACTTTTGGATCATGATCCTTGAGTTATGAGCTGTGGACTACAATGGTGATATTTCCCAACCATTAGACATACCTTTCTGCTTATAGCTGCCAAAGGCAGCAGAACCAGAGATATAGTGAGATAGATAGGTAAATAGATAGGTAACTGGATAAATGAAGCCTTGCCAATAAAATTTAAATATCTAGATCCAGTTGTCCTTGAAGGATACTCAGTTAAATGAGACCATATCCCCAATGTGGTGTTTATGACTTAAACTACTCGAAGTTATTTTCTGACACTTGAAATGGAACAAGTCCTGACTAACACATATTAAAAACCCAGAAACAACAAAACTGGGCAACAATGGAATATTCAAACATCAGACTTTAGAACAGCAGGAGGTCTAGCTGGCAAGAGCCCTGAGTTTATTTCCCATTGGAAAATAGTGAAGGAGGCATGTGGTTGATAACTGGGTGAGAGGAAGGGAGCCCAGGTAAAGCAGAACCACCTCAGTGAGGCACACAAGGGTATAAAAGTGAGCTGGAGGTGAGAACACAGCCTGTTACTATGTGACCAGCTCTTCATCATGCTCTAGTGACACTTCCCACTCATTTAGAAAGGAGTTGGCCCAATTCTCTCTAGTCCTGGCATCAGGTGAGGCCAAAACCAACATGCTGAGCTAACTGCTTGCTTCCCTGAGCTGGTCATGAGATCACCCATCACTGCAGAATGGAGCCAAGGAAAAACATCCTGGCCTTTGGCTCAAGTTATCATTCACTGGGCTATGAATTTTCTGTTGGAGAATTCCAGACTTATGTCTGAAGCGCCTATTTTATCTTTATCTCTGAGTCCTGAACATAAACAAGTGTTTAATAAATGCTTGATGGATGAGTGAATCTGTGAATTAATCAAGAAGCATCCAAGAATCACCATTCATAGAGAAAAAGGATGCATGCAAGATTAATAAATATGACTGATAATAATTTGAAATCAGATCTATTGGTATGAGCTGGAAAAAAAAAAGGAGTTTGGTTATATTTTTCAGATTGCCCTGAACTTTAATAATTTGGTGCTACACACATTCAAAAAATGTGCAATACTTACATAAACTCAGGAAACACTGAGTTAAACAAAGGCACTGACTGGCTTCTCAGAAGGTTTACTCTGCTGATGTGATTTTGTATTTGCATCTGGACCACTTTGCAGGATTAGCAGAACAAGCCTTGGGAATGCTGGGTAAGGTAAAGGTGACTTCCCCCAGGATTTCACTCTACTGGCGAGACTAAGGGTCAACTAACTGTCCTGAATCCTAACTTCCTAGTCTCTGCTTAGCCAGCTGAGCCATCCCACCTCCTTCCCTCCCATAACTCTTTTGGAGTAGTAATGTTGGGGACAATGGAGTGTATATTAGAAAGTGCTGGCCCTTGAGCACGTTTTCCCTTCTCTGCTATGGAGAAAGAACTCAACAGAATCAGATCTGGCTGCTCTTGGCCAAGCCCAGACCATCTGCTGCCTGGGATCTTGAGTTCACCAGAGGCACGCATTACTGTGATCTTCCTACATGTGAAACCCTGAATGTGGGCATTCAAATTTGAGGACAGTCTATGAGGCCATCAATGTGTTTCTTTTTTCATAGAGAATTTTACTTGTTCAGGAAGGTACTAAGGTGCAACATAACACGGATATTAGAGTCAAGTAAGATGTTGGCTTGCATTCTGGATTTTGTAAGTTTGGCCAAATCACTTCAATAAACAAGGAAACTTAAGAGATTTTTCCCAAAGGAGAAGAGGAGCGTAAGGAGCTTGCTGTTACACTTCTGGCCTGATTTTCCCAACCCTACTTATTTTTCATTCGTTCAATAATTTTTTTTTGAATTTAATTTGTTTAACTATGCCAAACATTGTGTATTTGAAGAAAGAAAAATCAAACTTATAATAAATAAATAAATAAATATATAATTACAAGTTCAAGTAACTTTTATGGAAGAAAAGAATAGGGAGGTTAGAGATACTGAGAGTTGGGAAGGGAAATAATGTAAGTAAGATCTTATTATTGGCCCTATCTCTGTATCTAAAACTCTACTCTGTTCTGTGATTTTGGTCATGTACTTCTCCTTTATTTTTCCTTTCCCCAGTCTCTGTCTTCCAGTCTTAGGTAGAGAGCTGGGGCATAATAGCTCTCTAGTTCTGTTCCTTATCCACCTCCTGACACTTTGAGTCAGTGAGCATGGCCTTCTTTCCTTCCTCTCTTAATAAAATATGAATTAAGCACTACTTTCCCTTAGTTCTAGGATATGCCAGACTTTTTTCCTTTGATTCCTGCTGCCTCCCAGCAGGGTCCTATAGCAGGAAAAAAGTGAATGAAGCAGGAGTTGACACCAGTGGGCAGAGAAAGAACAACTCAGAGTCACCAGCC